CAGGTATTCAGTAGAAAAATGTAGTCAACCTCATAAAATTTAAAAAGAAAAACAAAAGCTTAAAAATACGCAACAGTATCAGCTTTTAGGTTTTGAATGAAATAATTTTGTGTGTGCATGCTGCATTATTGCATGTTCCTGGAAACATCTCATCCTCTTCCAGTCAGTAAATGCTTTGTGTCTTGCTTTTTCTACAGTAAAGTAACTTCAGGAAGGAGTGCAGAGTGACTGTTAGGGCACTGTGTTTTAAGGTGAGAGACTCTATTTGAAGTCTTTCCGGCAGAGATTTTTCCTGCTTCCTGAAAGAGTGCTAATGTCATCTTTTAGACTTTGAGGAGTGAGCCACTTTGAACATCAGAAATGTTTGTCCAAAGCTTTGTATCTTGAACTATATGTAGGCACCGATATACACTCCTGCTCCTAGCCTCAAAACAGGGCACGAAGTTCATGCATACTTGTCTGTGGTCTTGAGGTGTTTTCTGAATTGTTACGTTTCGTTTTCTCAGATGCTTAAAATCCCCCATTTTTATGAGGAACTCAGATTTCTAAGTAGGTGTCTAAACGTTTCAGTGTCTAAATATTAGAAATCCAAAGCCTTTATTATATCTAGCCTTACAAAAATATAGGAGGCTTGGAGGATGAAGTCCGTTTCACCTGTTAAGTAACTTCTCTTTTAGTTTAGAACATGACTCAAATAAAAAACCCCTCACCCATATGATTTAGCAGTCATTCAGGAACAGTAATAAACCAAAACAATAAGTCCAGTTTTGTCTTTAATTTATAAACATGTCTAATAATTAAGAGCCCTTTAAATTAAGATGTAATGAATCTGAAGAAGATAGATTAGAAGCTGAGGTTAAAGACATGATGGTCTAAGAGATCGAAGTGTATGTGTTATGGCACTGACACTGTGTTGAAGGAGGGAAAAGTAATTTTTTTATACAACATGGAAATTCAAAGCCTTTAGAAAAAGTAGCATTACATGAAGTCCACAAGCAGTCTAATTTACTGGGAGGATAGATGATAATTGTATATGAATACCACACTATGAGCATGAATTATTACTTATAGTGATGGTGATGGAGTGCTGGCACAGGTTGCCCGGAGAGGTCCTGGAGTCTCCATCCTTGGCGATACTCAGAAACTGTCTGGACGTGGTCCTGGGCAAGGCAGCTGGCTCTAGGTGGCCCTGCTTGACCGGGAGGCTGGCCCAGATGTCCTCCAGAGACCCCTTCCAACCTCAGCCATTCTGTGATTCTGTGAAATAAAGGTTTAAAAGAGTCATCTTCTAAATTGAGTTGAGAAGGTATGATTCCTATAAAACAAATTACATGACTTTCAGGAACTTTCAAATGCAAACTGCACAAATTGTGTGACACTCCAGAACTCGATACCTGCCCAAATAAGATGCTGATTCTCCTGTAGACTGTTTTCCAGCTGTGATTACTAGTCAAGGTTATTTAAGTATTGTCATACCTGAGGCTGACAAATTTCAAATGAGTGTTTTGAGGAGCTGTGCTCTTGAAGAAAAAACATGCTTAAGTTGACCAAAAAAAAAAAAAAAAAATCATGTTGTTACTGGCAGCTTTTGCCTCTGTCAGTACAGATGGAAATCAGAATTGATGGCTATGTTAGGAGACAATAAGCTATTCACAGTGAAAGTCAATTCTTACAGAATAAAAATTCTGACTAAATATATTTTGTCCTCTTAAAATTACATCCTCAGCACAGTAATGTCAAGATCAAAGTGATATTTTTTTTGTTCGAAGTTCACATAATCTACAACAGTTGCTTTATATAGAGCTGTAGTGTTCAAGTTCCTAGTTTTATCCTACTGTTTCTCCTACTATCTAGTATTTTCTGGCAGTATACCTTCTCAAATAGGTACCAGAAACTTTCTCCAGCCTTGCTCTTGTGATAGAGCTTATACTGAGTGATAGTGTAATGATCGCATTCATTAATATCGTGGAAGTGGGATGTTCAGTGTCGTACCCCAATACAAATTTCACTTGGGATGATCACTTGCAATACTTGCAACCTTTTGTCTTAGTGTTAGAAGATTTCAAATCACCACGTTTATTAACTTGATAAAGTTGTTATTTATTAACATAAGAGCTTCACCTAATTTTCAGTATTAAATATACAACCAATTTCATTTGTCCAGAGCAAGCTTGTTCTTCATTTGTTCCGACTGTGGTTAAGTCTTTGAGGAGAAATGTCAGGCTTCTCTGTGGAAAGCTCTAAAACTGCAGTACTCCCTCAAGCTGGCTGGTCGGTCTTTACTGGTGTAGCAGCTTCAGGCAGGCACCAAGGGGAGCCTTCTGTCCATATTCTGTAATACGGTCATTTGATCGTGGAGGAGCTGCACGTATGAAAATGAGTTAAGCCTGTGTTTCATATATGGATTTGAAAAATATTAAATACAGTTAATGCATTTAAATGAAAGCTGTTGAGATACATTTTGAGTCAGCCCAAAAATCTGCTGAATTTTGAAGTACAGCTAGGAAAGCTATAATGTTTGTGCAGGATGGCCTCATTTTAAACTTTCTTTTATACTTCATTCCAAAAAATTAGTAAGTAAACTATTTGATATGTAATTAATTGATATGAACATATATCAGTCAGTTATATTAATGTTTTGAATGTTTTAGATGCATCCTTGTTACCAATTTAAATTATTAATTGTCACTTCTTATTACCTACGTCCAGAGCAAACCAAAAAAAAAAGGTTTAATTACTGCCACAAGAGTTATTGTTTTATTCAAAATGTTGTCTCTTGACTCTTCAAGGTGACAGGTTTGAATAAGTGAGCAGAAAGCAGACCCCCCTGGACTTTTTAATTAAACATTTTTTGTAACTTAATTGTGATGGGAGGGTGTATATATCAAAGTGTCCACATCAAAAACTTAGTGTACAAACATGAGCTTTAAAAGTAACTCCTGTTAACAGCTTGAAAAAACTATTGAAGGAAGGGAGTTGGGTTTTTTAGCACAATTAGGTAGGCAAAATGTAATGGTTGTGGCATTTATCAACTAGCAAATACTTAGCCTGCTTATTAAGCATCCTTGTGATCTCCCTTAGAAAATTGATGGTGATGGAATTTGTTTCTTGGGTTGAAGAGCGCTTATGACAGACCTCAAGCAGCCTCCTCTGATGATAGAACATTATTATTCAAGGAAATGGTCAAAGAGGGGTGACTAATTGAAAAATACTGCCTGTTCCATTTTTCTTCAAGAGTGCTGAGCACCTAAGCTTATGAAAATATTAAAATGGATATAGATGCGGCAGGTTAAAATACCTCTCGGCAAACAGATCTCTGTCTATAATGCTGTTCAGTTCCATAACTCTGAAGCAAGACTCTGTGCTGTCTGTGATTGTCTAGATAACAATCGTGCTAATAATTTTCTGCCTTCTTGTTTAAAAGATCCTCCATCTTGTATCTACATTTCATTTTTTTCTATAAATTGGTCATGTGAGACTTAAATTTATTAATGTCACTGGGTAGCTTTTCTGTGGATGCAAAACTTAACTTACCTAACAGTTCAAGCACACATCACCTTTTTGTACTTCTTCATTTACTTCCTGATTCCTCATTACTGCAGAGTTCAGCAAGGTTTCTCTCTGTCCTAAGGAAATCACTTACCAGATTTCATTTATATGTACATATTTTTAATTTTTTAATATAGATGTTTCTTGGCATATCTGAATTCTTACTGTCTTTTTGTAACACAGCTCTGGTGTGACCCAAGTCATTGCTTAAATTGTGCATTTCACACTGAAAATTTGTTTGCAGAATACTTTCAAAACCTTTTTTTTACTTTATATGGTCAGTATTTTTCACTTAAGAAGTGAGTCAAGAATGTTCCTAGAAACCGGCTTCCTAAGAATTATGAATTGTACTATTTTGATTTCTGTTGACAACATTTTTGTTTGGTATTTATATAATATTTAATCTTCAGATTATCTAAATGTTTCAGTAGGATTTTTTGAAGTTGCTGGTGTTTCAGTTGTTCATTTTGCCACCTGTTGCATCTCACGTATGGTTCAGTTCTATTGAAAGGCAATACGATGAATACTCCCCAGTACAGGTCTGAGCAATATTGTAAAGAGCATGGCTGCACACAAGCTCTTATTAGGAAGGGAAGTTGCCTTGTGCATTTGAAGTAAGAGATGTATATAATTTTTGTCAAGTTGATGCTGCAGAAACATTTAAAATGTAGTCAGTTGATCTGAGAAGGGAAAGGTAGTGATCAAGTGATGCAACTCTTGCATATTAGTCCTGAAAAAGTGAAACAGAGGCTTTGGCACATTTGAAATACAATTTCAGATATGGAATTGTAGTGATGTTTCTTCAATGTATTTGAAAACTGTTGATAAACTTTAACCTTACTCAATTAAAGAATTTTGAAATGGCTTTGAAATCTTCTTCGGTATTTAGTGGCTTCAAAAGGTCGGTCTTAGGATCATGAGTCTTATTTTCCCATTGGTAAGTTTAACGTATAACTAAAATAACATATATGATGCCACAGTAACCAAATGGGATCCTAAAAGCAATGCAGTGTGTGTATTAATATCTTAATTTGCTAACAAATTCTAAAAAAGGTGTAAAGAATTAGTGGTATCTGTTATATAACTGTGCCTTTAATATCTACTGACCAGTTTCAGCATTGATTCAGTCTTTGTAAATATACTCCATATGTTTTAAAAATAAAAAAGCAAAAAAACCCTCATCTTGTTTTTTAGTACTCTTACTGAATTTGAAATCAGCTTTACTTTTTTAAACACATACTTTCAAATTGGCAGCTGGAGATATAAAATACACGGTTATAAGTGTTACAGAAAATAGTGAGTTGTATTTTTTTTTTTTTTGAGAGCTGCTTAGCATCTTCTGGAGATTGCACTTAGATTTTTTTTGTTTGTTTTCCAATTTTCGCATCAAGTTTTGATACTATCTGAAGTGTTGAAATAAGTAATTATGTTTGCCTTTCCTCCTTCTACAGGTAAATTATTTCACATTGACTTTGGTTATATTTTGGGTCGGGACCCTAAGCCTCTACCTCCCCCGATGAAGCTGAATAAGGAGATGGTGGAAGGTATGGGAGGCACGCAGAGTGAACAGTACCAGGAGTTCCGTAAGCAGTGCTACACAGCCTTTCTCCATCTCCGCAGGTAACAATGCTGTTTTGATGATAAATTTATTAGGGCCACCCTGAAAAAGGAGAGGAGTAAATGAATCAGAGGAAATATTTCTGTTGAAAATTCAGAACTTGTTTGCAGTCTGAATGTAGACACAAGAATTTGTACAAAGCACAGGAATGAAAACGTCACAGCATTGGTGTAATGTGGAGCTTGAATGTAATTGTCCTCCAAGTTAAGGTCCCCAGTTTCGCTTGTTTAATAACCTAAATAGCTCTTTTTCATAACTCCTGTCCGGTATTAATTTATATCTTGCTTTTTGGATATGTTTTTGCCCTTAAGGAGCCTTTCCTTTGATTATTGACGATCAATTAACTCTCCTGTTAACTCTGAGTCATTACTCATTTGCTGCTTTATCCTCCTCCGGTTTAGATTAGTGACGATCAAATTCTTTGACATGAAGATGGCATATATAAGCTTAGTTGGGTTCAGGTCCTGCGGGACAAAAATTAGCTACTTGTAGTGACAATCAAATATGTTAGCAGGTTCTGTAGATACCCGGAACTGTGACAGCTAAAACCTCCTTAGACTGTATTTATGGACCAACAGATCTCTCCTTTAGTCTTGGAATCAGCTTCTTTATTTTGTAGTGACCGTATCACCGTCAACTTTCTGAGCCAAGTAGCCAAAAAGGACCGTCATGGTTTAACCCCAGCCAGCAACTAAGCACCACACAGCCACTCTCTCACTCCCCCTGCCCCGGTGGGATGGGGGCAAGAATCGCAATGGTAAAAGTGAGAAAACTCCTGGGTTGAGATAAGAACAGTTTAATAATTGAAATAAAATAAATAGTAGTAGTAGTAATAATAGCAATATAATAATATACAGAGCAAGTGATGCACAACGCAATTGCTCACCACCCGCTGACTGACACCCAGACAGTCCCTGAGCAGCAATCGCTGCCCCCCGGGCAACTCCCTGCAGCTTATATACTGAGCATGATGCCGTATGGTATGGAATAGCCCTTGGGGCAGTTTGGGTCAGCTGGCCTGGCTGTGTCCCCTCCCAGCTTCTCACTGGCAGGACATGAGAAGCTGAGAAGTTCTTGACTAGTGTAAGCACTGCTTAGCAAGAACTAAAACATCAGTCTGTTATTGGCATTATTCTCATCCTAAATCCAAAACACAGCACTATGCCGGCTACTAGGAAGAAAATGAACTCTATCCCAGCCAAAACCAGGACAGTAGCTCAGCTTTGTTCTGTTTGAACAGAACACAGGTAAGCGCTCTTGGTCTGTCCAGTGATTGATTTAGTATATCTTCCGTGGAGGTGAAAGAATTTCACATCGATATCAAGATCACATAGTGTAAACCTCCAAAAGTGGGGAAAAAATTAGTAATACCAAAAGCATATGTGAAAAGTACATGTAGGTTGAAAAGTAGGCAGTCAATGATTTGAAATAAAAATGCTATGTATAGTTCTCTCCTTGTTAAAAGGAGAAAGAGTAAAGAGTTGGTTTATGAACTGGTGTTACTAATGGGTTAAAAGCAATTCAGCAGCATGAAAAAACAGGAGCATGTTATCAGCAAACAATATTCATTACTTTGGAAAACAATCAGGAAGGCTAATGTATATTCCATGTTCTAAATTTTGCCTAAAACTGTCTTGTAATACTGTATTTCTTATTTGTGAAATACTTGAGTTGTTTTTATTGTTTAAACTTAGCTGTTTCAATGGAAAGGTCTGTTGTGTCAGTGAATGATTATCCATTGCATTAATTTATGTAGTGATTTGCTACAAAAATCATCATTAAGTGTGGAGCATAGCAGTAATTTGGGTATAAAACTAAACTGTAAATCAAGTTGGTTTCATTTTTAATGTCTGGGATTGTAGTTGTAATTATAGTCTCTCCAATATTTGTTCAGTTTAATAGGAAAGTATTTTTTAAATGGTTCTGGATAAATATCTTTAAGGCTTTCAACAAAGATAGCGTAGGATAATATTAGTATTACTATAACTATTTCTTTAAGCAGCTAGAACTAAAAAATTATTAAGACTACTTGCTTATTGAAAAAAGAATAATTAGAGGTGGAATGGCTTAGTTCTAACAGTTCTGCATGTTGACACAAACCTTTTCACAGATACTTCTTCTGGCTAAGTGGTGTGAAATCATAACCTCTGATTGCTAAGACAAAATACAAACTTTGACGTTTCCATCAATTTGTGGTTTATTCTTTCTTCTTTATTTCACTGGGGTATAGACAATTCTCTATATATTTCAAGTGTCCTGTCTCAGTGTTTTAGGATTCCTGGTGGAATGGGTGTTGCATAGTAAAAACATAAAACCAATTTAAAACTTATACATGGAAAAACAGTTTTGTTCATTGCTTCCAACCTAAACCAGTTTGGCATATGATCATTGGTGTGCAGTTTTTTGTTGGCTTGGTTTCCTTTCCGGGGGTGGGGGATATGCTTTCCACTTCCTTGAACAACAATAATCAGTCGTGTGTGTTTGTCACCTGTGCTGTAATGAAGGAGCAGCCTCTGCGTTCTGAATGCGTTGCAGGGCAAATTGTGGCTGACAGCAGAACTTGCATCCTCACTTAGGCTGTAGCAGCCTTTTACACCTTCATTATACATGTTGAGCCTATTTAGAGATGTTTAAGTCCTGTTATGCGTCAGCATTTCCTTTCCTCTGACAATTCCCAGTTCACACATCTTCAGCGGGACCCAGCAGAGAAGAATCCAGCATCAACATTTGAAAGTTTTTCCCAGAGTTAGTAAAGATTTCTCCTGTGTTAGTCCCGTGAGAAATTTGATGTTCAGTTTGAGTTAGCAGGCATAGATAGGGACAAAGGATTGGGAAGTAGCAGGAGACAGAAGCTGTGGTTTGGGCTCAGATGCTTGCTCTGTACGGATGGGGGTATCCAGCTGACTGGACCAGTGTTTTTTCCCCAGTCTGTTCTCAGTAGTGTAGTGGACAGAAGAGGCCATATAGATCTCAATGAAAAAAATATAGGCAACAAGTGGAAAGCTGTGATGGTCTTGGGAAATGCTGATTCTTTGAAAAGGTTGTAGGTAGGCAGCGCGGGGTCTAGATAGTCTTCTGAAAGCTGGGAGTACATGGTGAGGAGGGAAGAGCAAAGGTGAAACTGGTTGGGATCAGTTCGGTTTTGCTTGAGTCTGGACTGCAAAGAAATGCTTTTGAAAGTGTAAGTGCCATAGTTCATTATAGCTGGTTGGGACATGGTAGTGATTGGGGAGGGTATATGTATGTCTTGAAGAAATGAGTCCTAGGGGGACCCAGGTTATATTGCAGAAAAGGTAATCCCATTTTAAATTTAGGAATTTTGGAGTTAGACCAGCTAAGCAGGGCTTTAGTTTGGGACTGCAGATAACTATACTTTCCTGTCCTGTCTTTAAGGGAAGTTTGTGGCTTCAAATTTGATAACATATTGCAATATCGACAGCCTGAATGTTCAGTTGGCTTAGGGCATCTATATGCAAAGGGGCCAGAAAATTTAAAATAATTGTATCAAGAAGTGCTTAGGATCAAATAGTATTTGATGAGATATTAAGCACTTAAAAGCTGTTATTCTCAGAAAAGATGGCAGCAAGATTTTGAACTTCTATCTGATGTGGGTTTCTTGGTATATATGAGGCCTCTTCTATGTAGGAATAGTTATTTTGTTGGATTTCTTAAACTTTTACAGAAACTCCATGTTTTTAGCACTTCATGTTCAAACTGTAAGTTTAATCAAACCATCTCCAGTGCAGCTGAGTGCTTATTTTGTAAATTAATTTTTATGGGGCTTTGAAGAAAACAAAGCATGCATTTACATTGGAAGGATTCAGGGTCAAGTTTAGGTGCTTAATGGAAGCTCCTTAAACTTGGAAAAACTGAGCTCCTAGTTTGTTCTAGCTGTGGATGGAGGTCAGCCATTCCAGAGGTCTTTGTAATGTAGATGTCAAAGGTGAGCGGTGTGACTTGCATGACAAAGGTGTTTGTTTTTTACAGGTCAGATTCCTAACTTGGGTGTTTCAGCAAAATGTCTAGTCTTAGGATGAACTTGGGCTGTCAGTTGACCATTTGTGAACATCTTGGGCTATTTGCCAAGGATGTTGCCTATGGGAAGGATGACAGCCAGCTGTCTATAAAGTAGGAAGCTCTTACCTCTCTTGTCAAGGCCTGTTTTTTTAATAAATTTTCTGAAAATCTGTGAAATGTGACAAGGGTCCTAGAGACAGCTAACAAATATACTTAATAAGCTCTTTTTCATTCTTAGACCGCCATCTAGTTGATTACCAAGTTAAAGAAATGTTGGGGTCGGGGCAGAGGAGAGACTCGCAGGTAGTATAGTGAGCAGCTCTTTCCTAATTTTTGTCTAAACCCACTCCACACTCCCCCCAAAATTACCTTTTCTTGATTTTTTTTTAATGAGGTGAGGTTCTTCAGATGATCTAATGCTTCCAGTGCTTTTACTTCAAGCACCAAAACCCAAAAGACTTCATTGTGTGGAACAGAACCAGCTCTTAACTGGTATCTAGCAATGATGCCTAGACCTTTGAAATCTCTTTTACAAACCTCCATCGCTTAAATAACCCCAGTAACCTGTAGTGCTCCTAAGCTCTTACCCCCTATGTGGTTCAAGAGCAAAAGGGGCTCAGACTCTGGACTCCTGGGTCAGTTCAAAGGGAGAACTACCAATGGAAGCTACCAGTGACCTAGGAAGAGACTTCAGAGAATGTAGCTGTAAGATTTAAGCATGTTTAAAGTGGGATTTGCTTGTTTCAGGCAAGTAGAAAAGATTTGCATTAAAACCTGTGATGTCTGTTCCTGGCACCAAAGCAACTTGACTGCCAGGTTTCTTAGCCAGATCTGAAACAAAATGGTAGTGTAATTTTACTTTCTTTCTTTTAATCTATGATAAAAGTAATTTTCCTGATTCCAGTCCCTTGCCCCTGGGAAAGTAAAGCAGAACAGCTGAAACAAATCAAACACTGAAGATTTCTGTCCAAACAGTTTATTTTAAACCTTTGTGTTATAAAGAGTTAAAACTTACATTGGAATGTGTTAGGTAGTGCTAGTTCCAGATAATAACGAAGTATCAAGAGGTTTTGATGGAATTATCCTTTTCTAGAGAGATTTTTTTGTCGAGCAGTATTTACTTTGTAAAATATGGCTATGAAGCAGCCCTTTTGTGTAGTTAAAATACTTTGTACTCCTTGCAGTTGTCAGCTTCTATATATTCAGCAGCTTGCTAATAAACAAGTTTTGCTGCTAAGAATTAATTTTCTATCATCTATGAAGCTCCTAGTGCTCTTAGCAAAGCAGTATTTCAGATTTTGAAGTCAGTTATGTACTTTGTCTCTGAAAGGGGACTAGATCTCTTTAGAGGGGAAAGGAAGTCTCAGTTTATGTCGAACAGCTTGAAAATTATCCCTTCAAAAAGCAACTTGCAGCTAATTTCCTGCAAGGGCAAAATGGTGTTCTTTAAAAGATTCGCGAGTACTTCCAGCACCGTGTTAAAACTGAAAACTGTACTCTGTCTTGTCTTTTTTTTAATGGTTATAAATGACATTTGTACTTCGTAAGTGTAGCATGCCGACCATTGTTATTGCAGCTTAACTGAGCAATTGCAGACTTGGATCTGGTTAAAACACATTTAGCTTGTTATGGCAAAAGCCCTTGCAGCAACTTGAAAAATAATTTCTTGTAATTTTGAAGACTTCAGCTGCTTGAATGCTAATTTATATAATATGCTGTATCACTGATATCCTTTTTAATAAAAAATTACCTCTGAATCAATATTCTATCATATGTTTGTCCTACTAGAGGTAGAAGCTTACAATATATGAAATCACAGTTTATATTTGACGTGTCTGTGAATAAATGTCTGACAATTTTTAGAAAATGATAATAAAACCAGAGCAGTCTATTCAGTTCTGGCAGTTTGAGACAGTTTGAGGGTTAAACTTTCACTGCTAATATCGGGTATTTTACATTTTTAACAGAAATATGTTCAACTAAAGTGTTATGAATGCATCTCCTCTGAAGCATTACCAATTCACGCTAAGACGATGATGTGATCTTAAATGAAGTTGTTTACAAAATGTCTTTTGTACAGTTTGAAGTGTTTTACCTAATTTGCTCTTCTGTTTAGGTATTCCAACTTGATCTTGAACTTATTTTCCCTCATGGTGGATGCCAACATTCCAGATATTGCTCTTGAACCTGACAAGACTGTAAAAAAGGTAACTGGAAACTTTTCCTTGTCTTTCAGTAACCAAAGTCATCATGTCATGAAATTTTCAGTCACTTGTGGTGACTTATTTGTAACTGACCTGAAAATACTTGCTCCTGTTTTGTAAGTTTTGGGCAATTTCTAGAATTATTGAAGTTAAAGATAGGAGAATATGCTTTTAAGATCACTTAACACATGTGCCCATAAATACAGAATTGCTCTTTATCGTCCATGCGGTAGTGCACAGTCTGTTCTAGCACTCTGTTCCAAGTGGTATTTTAGCATTCTGCTAAGAACGGTGATTCTACCTTATGAAACTTTTGATAAGTGACTATATCATGAAAGACTGATCTGTCTCGTCTAGAATCCTGTAAGTCATGGATGGTTTTATAAAACCAGTGTAGTGGTAGATATAAAACCAGTCTGCTGAAGATTTAAAACTAGTAGACTGGTGTATCTTCATCATCAAGAAATTCTTGTTTATTGTGAAAACAAACTCATGTCCCATAATTCTAACTTTGTCCCTTTGCACCAGCCTGAATCATTCTTCTCCATCTGATGTTTCAACAACAGCTGACATGAAAAATACTGGATAAATGTTCATCTAGATTTTGTTACACTTACGTTTTAGGCAAATGTTGGCTTTTTCATAACCTGATTTATAGTGAACGGCTGTGTGTTTTAATTCCACAAAAGACTTTGTGGAGCCTGTGTATTCAATGGAAATCAGTTCAGTGTAATTTTTACTTGAGCAATGGATTTTCTCTAAAATAGGCTGTTCTTCATGTTTTCAATAAGCTATGAAAGCAGAGGTTCAGAATCTTGAACATTTCATGTTCTAATACAATTCCCTTAAAACTAAATTGTGACTCCAACAAAATCTTTCCTTTTGCCTGCAAGAATTCAAGCATTTCTGTTCAGAGTTTCTTGGTTTCAAATTGATACAAAGACTACATGTAGCTATTCAGTTTAATTTCCAGGAAGGCTGGGCTAGCCAGAAGTGCTGTATTTTGTGGTAAAGATGACAGCCCTCCCTACACTTGGTTGTTTTCCTGAGAAAATGACAGCTAATTCTTTTTCCATATCAATATTTGAACCTCACCTCTGTCCGTAAATGTCCTGCAAAGATTGAATAGGTTACTTGCTTAGAATGTGGGAGATAGAGGCTTAAAGTAGAAAAACAAAACAAAACCTACCAAGTTTCAATGGAGTGACTACATCAGTGGACAAGGGAAGAGCTACGGATGTCATCTGTTTGGACTTCTGTAAGGCCTTTGACATGGTCCCCCACAACATCCTTCTCTCTAAATTGGAGACATACGGGTTTGATGGACGGACTGTTCGGTGGATGAGGAATTGGTTGAATGGTCACATCCAGACGGTAGTGGTCGATAGCTCAATGTCCAGCTGGAGATCAGCAACGAGTGGTGTCCGTCAGGGCTCCGTACTGGGACCAGTACTGATTAATACCTTCATTGGTAACATAGGCAGTGGGATCAAGTGCACCCTCAGCAAGTTTGCAGATGATACCAAGCTGAGTGGTGCGGTTGACATGCCTGAGGGACGGGATGCAATCCAGAGGGACCTGGACAAGCTGGAGAGGCGGGCCTTTATGAACCTCATGAGGTTCAACAAGGCCAAGTGCAAGGTCCTACACCTGGGTCAAGGCAACCCTGATATAGATCAGTACAGGCTGGGGGATGAAGGGGATTGAGAGCAGCCCTGCCGAGAAGGACTTGGGGGTACTGGTGGATGAAAAGCTGGGCATGAGCTGTCATTGTGCGCTTGCAGCCCAGCAAGCCAACTGTATCCTAGGCTGCATCACAAGAAGCGTGGCCAGCAGGTCGAGGGAGGTGATTCTGCCCCTCTACTCTGCTCTGGTGAGACCTCACCTGGAGCCCTGCGTCCAGCTCTGGGGCCCTCAGCACAAGAAGGACATGGACCTGTTGCAGTGGGTCCAGAGGAGGGCCACAAAAATGATCTGAGGGCTGGAGCACCGCTCCTACGAGGCCAGGCTGAGAGAGTTGGGGTTGTTGAGCCTGAAGAGGAGGCTCCAGGGAGACCTTATTGTGGCCTTTCAGTACTTAAAGGAGGCTTATAAGAAAGATGGGGACAAACTTTTTAGTAGGGCCTGTAGCAATAGGACAAGGAGTAATGGTTTTAAACTAAAGGAGGGTAGATTTAGACTGGATATAAGGAAGAATTTTTTGGGTTCTTTTACAGTGAGGGTGGTTGAAACACTGGCACAGGTTACCCAGAGAGGTGGTAGATGCCCCATCCTTGGAAACGTTCGAGGTCAGGCTGGACGGGGCTCTGAGCAACCTGATGTAGTTGAAGATGTGTCTGCTCACTGCAGGGGGACTGGACTAGATGACCTCTAAAGGTCCCTTCCAACCCAAATGGTTCTATGATTCTAAGTTGTAACTGATGGGAGTAACTACATTTTTGTAGAGACCTTCTTTTGAAGGAAGAGACTTTGCTATCAGAAGTTTTTTTGCGAACAGAGAAGTACTTGCGGGTTGATGTGATGGTTGGAGTCTGTTTTGGGCATAGCGACCATGAAATTGTTTTCAATTCTCAGAGAAGTAAGGAAGGGGGTTAGCAGAAATGCTACCTTGGACTTCTGGAGGTCATATGTTGGTCTGGTTAGGGGCCTGGTTGACAGAGTCCCTTGATAGGCAGTCCTGAAGGGAAAGGAATCCAGGAAGGCTGGATGTTTTTCAGGAAGGAAATGTTAAAGGTGCAGGAGCATGCTATCCCCATGTGCTAAAAGACGAGCTGCAGGGAGGAGGACTGGCCTGACTGAACAGAGAGCTTTGGCTGGAACTCAGGGGAGAAAAAGGAGAGTGACCTTCGGAAGAAGGGGCCAGAAACTCAGGAGGACTACAAGGACGTCGTGAGGTTATGCAGGGAGAAAATTAGAAGGGGCAAAGCCCAACTAGAACTTCATCTGGCTACTGCCGTAAAAGACAGTAAAAAATGTTTCTGTAAATACATTAGCAGCAAAATGAGGACTAAGGTGTATCTCCATCCTTTATTGGATGCAGGGGGAAACATAGTGACAAAGGATGAGGAAAAGGCTGAGGTACTTAATGCCTTCTTTGCCTCAGTCTTTAATAGTCAGACCAGTTGTTCTCCAGGTGCCTGAGCTGGAAGACAGGGAGTGGGAGTGGAATGAAGCCCCCATAATCTGAGGGGAAATAGTGAGCGACTGCTATACCACTTAGACACACACAGGTCTATCCCTGGATGGGATCCACCCAAGGGTACTGAGGGAGCTAGCGGAAGTGGTCACCAAACCACTTTCAGTCCTTCACCAGCAGTCCTGGCTAACTGGGGAGGTCCCAGTTGACTGGAGGTTAGCAAATGTGATGTCCATCTACAAGAAAGGCTGGAAGGAGGATCCAGGGAACTACAGGCCTGTCAGCCTGACCTCGGTGCTGGAGAAGGTTATGGAGCAGATCATCTTGAGAGCCATCATGTGGCACTGTGGTGGGTTGACCTTGGCTGGACACCAGCTGCCACCAAGCCGCTCTGTCACTCCCCTCCTCAGCAGGACAGGTGGGCAGAAGATGAGATGGAAAAAAAACCTGGTGGGTCAAGATAAAGGTAGTTTAATAAAAAGGCAAAGCAAAGGCTGTGCGTGGAAGCAAAGAAAAGGTAACAAAGATTTTATTCTCTACTTCCCATCAGCAGGTAATGTCCAGCCACTTCCTGGGAAGCACGGCTTCAGTACGTGTAGTGGTTGCTCTGGAAGACAAATGTAAATATCGAATGCCCTTCTTCCTCCTTTCTCTTAGCTTTTATTGCTGAGCTGACATCATATGGTATGGAATATCCCTTTGGCCAGTTTGGGTCAGCTGTCCTGGCTATGTCCCCTCCTGAGATCTTGCCCAGCACGAGCCTACTCGTGAGGGCAGGGGGAATGTTGGAGAGACAGCCTTGATGCTGTGGAGCACTGCTGAGCAGTAGCCAAAACACTGGTGTGTTTATCAACACCTTTCGAGCTACCAATACACAGCACGGCACTATGAGGGCTGCTGTGGGGAAAACTAACTCTGTCTCTGCCAGACCCAGTACAGGCACATACAGGACAGCCAGGTGATCAGGCCCAGTCAGCATGGGTTTATGAAAGGCAGGTCCTCCATGACTAACCTGGTCTCCTTCTATGACTTGGTGACCCACGTGGTGGATGGAGGAAAGGCTGTGGATGTCATCTACCTGGACTTCAGCAAAGCCTTTGACACCATCTCCCATAGCATTCTCCTTAGGAAGCTGGCAACTCATGGCTTGGACAGGCATACTCTTCGCTGGGTCAAAAACTGGCTGGGTGGCCAAGCCCAGAGAGTTGTGGTGAATGGCATGAAGTCCAGTTGACAGCTGGTCACGAGCGGTGTTCCCCAGGGCTCTGTTTTGGGGCCAGTCTTATTCAATGTCTTTATCAAGGATCTAGATGAGGGGATTGTGTGTGCCCTCAGTAAGTTTGCAGATGACACCAAACTGGGTGGGAGTGTCGATCTGCTGGAGGGTAGGAAGGCCCTGCAGAGGGACCTGGCCAGGCTGGACCGATGGGCCGAGGCCAGCGGTATGAGGTTCAACAAGGCCAAGTGCCGGGTCCTGCACTTGGGTCACAACAACCCCATGCAACGCTGCAGGCTTGGGGAAGAGTGGCTGGGAAGCTGCCCAGTGGAAAAGGAGCTGGGGGTGTTGGCTGACAGCTGGCTGAACAGGAGCCAGCAGTGTGCCCAGGTGG